GCCCAGGGGGGTTGCAAGGTGAAGGGTCGGTAGAGGAGGTCGAGAGTTTGCGGGTTGGGGCGCAGTGCCGCCGACGGGCTTTGCATTTGGCGAAGGTGGGATCGCAAGACCGAGTCTCGGTGTGCGGGCGCCGCCGCCGGGTCTCGATCCGGGGATGGCAGGACGAAGAAGAGGAACGGGAGAGTTCATCATAGGGACGGATCCGGGCGTAGATAGGGGAGAAGGGATTGGAGCCTGCGTGGTGTCAGTCAGCGTGCGTGTTGAGGGCCGGTGAAATGGATGCTGGCGAGAAGCTTACCTGCTGAGGAGGGTCCATGGTCTGTGGTTGTGAAGAGTTTTGGTCGGCCATTACGGCGATGTGATGTTGGGGCGGCCAGAAGGTGGTTGTTGAAGCTGGGGAGGGTTGTACACAAGAGGATTCCACAAAGTCGCAAAAGGGCCGAAGCCAAGCAACCCGACGACGTAGTTGGATGTAGGTCGAAGTGTGGTCGCTGCGGCACAGGGCACGGGCGGAAAGACGAGAGCTAAGGTAGCGTGCTCGAGGGATTGTGGGAGGAAAAGCTGACGTAGCAGTTGGGGCTAGACAATGGGATTCGCGGACGGGTGGTTCCTCTGGCTCAGGGCAAAATGCGTTAGTACCCGTCGAGGTCGGCCGTTTAGGCGGTTTCTTGAATCTGGGTGTCGGAGCGAGTGGAAGACGGGAAACATGCAAGGAAGAAACGACGACGACTTTGACGACCAAAAGGGCGATACGATAAGCAGCGTGCTTTCCCCGCTATGTGTCGCCTCGGGACGGATCAAGGCTGAAATGGAGGTAGGTCTCGGTATCTGCCCACCGTAATAATGGTCGAGGTCGGAAATCGGAACGGACAGTGTTGGAGCTGGCCTTGGAAGGTGGTGAGAGGGTGGAAGAAATGCAGTCGGCCGTGGATGTGTACGCGGTTTCTATGGTCTTCAGGCCCGACGTCTGGTATTGGGACCGGGGTCTGGAAGAGGGGGTTTCTTTTCCTTGGAGGGACTTGGTGAGGGACCAGCAGCAAGCAGGCAGGCCGAAGCAGGACGACAGGGACCGACGGACGGGGAGGAGGGGAGGGGGGACCAGACCAGACTCCAGAGGGACCCGACGAGTTGTGGCGAGACCAAGGTCCAAGGTCCAAGGTCACAGTCTTTGGGAGCGCCTGAGAGTGGGATTCAAGTGGGTGAAAAAAGGCGGGGAGCGGGCGGGACGAGGGACGAGGGACGAGGGACTTGAGCTTGGGCGCTAATTCCAAGGCCAAGTTCCAATCGACGACACCAGTCACTAGGAAGTCTGCCTGAGATGACAATGCCCTGCTGCGGTTGTGTGAATGCTGAATGCTGCACCGCGCGCAACGCAACACACAACACACGTAATTGCCCAAGAAAGGTGTACCTTAATCATCCTTGGGTATTCATCCCATCTGCACCTACGTCCGTCATGCTCTAGCTGCTATTACAGAGTTCGAGCATCCCGTCGGGGCCTTCCATCACCCTGCCAGGGGCTCTTCCATTGCCTTTATTGCGCCTTACATCAATACCTTAAGGTACCTACCTACCTTACCCAGGTTCAGGTCACTTGGGCTGTACCTGCCGTCGCCTCGAGAGCACGAACCCAAAGTCAACCGGCACCAGAGCGACGAGTCAATGGATGAAGCTTGGAAGCAGAAGAGGACCGCGCTTGGTCATTGAATTTTCTTTTCTCTTTTTCTCTTCAATGTGTGCCATACGGGACGATTACGCGCGCCACATTACGGAGTCCCTGGCGTTGAGTCGTCTGAGGTTTTGCCATTCCACCTTGGTATTTTCAGGAACGGCATCGGCCTTGAAGCATGGACCGAAATCGCCGTGCTGGTCCAAGAGGACGACATATGAGACCTGGACAGGACAGCCTGACCTGACGAGCCAACAGGAGCAGGTCTACCGGAAACAATCCACCCACGGATATGTCTATACGCATAACGTCCTGCCGGGAGAGAACAGCAGCTCTGCGGCGGAAAAACGAAAACGAGACAACAAAAGCAATGCCGCTGTTCCGACTCAAGTCAACAGTCATCCAGTACATTGACTTTCCTTGCCTCAACTTCTCGCCTCGAGACGCGTCAGGTACCTGTTGATCGAAACCACCGCAACGCAGCCACCTCGCCAACAAAGCTTAGTGTCATGTTCACTCATCGCCTGTGTGGTGAGTCGCCCATTTCATCCAAGGCTGGCTCTGGGTGCACAGTGACCCCGAGTCTGGCCAGTAACACGCAGCTCTCGGGCGACGAGATTTGGGAGGGCACTTGCGATGCATCAACCAGCATGGGGGCGTGAGAGAGACGACAGGGGTTGTCCTGCGGTTGGTGGTGTGTCGTCTGTGTCTTGGGCTGCCATTCGATGCCCTGCCCTGCAACCAAAGCTCGCTGCTTGTGCCCTCGAGCCTGCCTCCCATGTCGCTGACGACTGTCGTCCGTCGTCAAGCAGTCTTGAGCTGCTGCTCCTTTGCGTCCTGCGTCCTGCATCCCGCCCTGGCTCTCGCCTCTGTCTGCTGCACAAAGCGGGGGCCGCCCCCGATGCATCAAGACTCTTTAGTCGAAGCAGAGGCCATGGGGTGTCGATCGACAGAACAATATGGATATCCCGCCTGTTCAATCAAAGCAGACGTCGTCGGACGATGGCTTTACCCTCTTGAGCATTGTCAGCTGGATTGTCTATCAGGCCCCTCCTCGCCGCCCCTCGATAATTAGCCAGACAAATTGTTGGCAGCCAGCCATCAATCACAATCACTCCCGTCACACTCTCACACGACGCAGTCTGTCGCCTCGCTCGCGCATACACTAATTAACAACCGGGAAACCTTTTAACTACTGCACAGTGCCTGCTTGCTACCGATAAACCAAGACGGGATTGGGGTCCAAATTAATGCGGGCTTTCGGCAGCCAATCTCCATCCACAGAATTGCCATTGTGGTCCAGAGCGTGTCGATGAAACTCGCATAAGCCAGTTGACAACGTCGTTTTGTCTGGAAAATGGGGCATCTCCGGCGGCGGTAGACGAGGTGAGGGGACTGAGGGAGACACAAACGGCGTGGACATGAAGGGAGGGACGGCAAGGAGAAGGGGACAGGATGGGGCACCACACGGAGCTCCCCTCGGCACCTGTGTTGGCAAGCCTTCCACCCTCCGTGTTCTTGCACTGGCTGCTGCCGTGTTTCCATTCCAAATCATTCAGGAATTGTGACTGCCATTGCGACCCAACACTACAGACCATCGGCACAGCAATCCATCCTTCTGGGCAGGTTCCAGTAAGCTGATTGCAGAGAGTCATAGACGCGACTGATGGAGGATGCAGACCGTCTGCAGCACCACCGCGCCAACATCCTCTCCACCGGTCCTGCGGCACGAATAGGAGGGGGCCCCGAGATGGAGGGGGAGCCAGATACGGACGGGAGGGACAAGGAATCCTTTGGGGTCCGAAACACCACAAATTTTTATCGTCTTCTCTTTTTTTTTTCTGCCTTTTTTCTTACCCAACGCGGCCAACACGGTAGGCGGCGGCGGCGTGTCTGCGGTGTTTGGACGCCGCGCAACTCATTTTCCTCACCGCATCGCAGCTGGATCCCGACAACCTTCGGACGAAGGCCCGATTTTATGAAGCCCTGTCCAGGACACGTACGTGGTGCACCGCTGTTCGGCGATCAAGCTGCACAGGTTGCCTGGTTCGGGGATTTGCCGATGCCTGAATCTGAATCTCCGTTCTTTGAGTTGTCTGCCTTACCACACGGCTTCACAGTCCGTCTTGGGTGATGGCAAGGCGTTGCCGTGGCCGTCACATCACATCATCCATCTGTCGAATCCGCTGTACCGGGACCCAGATGAGAGCTCAAACTCACCGACAGTCAGACGGTACACCAAGGTGCACTCGCTTGATACGAGAAACGACAATGTTCCTCGAGATTCCCTATTGGACAAGCGCTTACACGGTTTGGGGCAGCAGTAGGTGCGCCCCGAGACGTCAGTGATCGACACCCGATTCCTTTCTGCTTTACATGCCTCGTCAATCCTCTCCACCAGCATCACACACACACACACACACCTAACGCACTGCCGCGGAGGGTACGTGCCGCACTCTCACCTGGCTTCAAAGACGCCAATGCGATCATGGGCGCTGCGGCGGCGGCCGAGTCGTCCATGTCCGAGGCTCATGCTATGCACGGGGTCTGGGGGCATAAGCACACAGCGTCCAGGAACCGGTACCTGGAGTCTGCCAAGCACATAGGGCGGAAAATGAAGTCGAGCTGGCGGCATCCCTGGACGGGAAGCAACGCTATGCTGTCATCAGCCTCAGCCCTGGGGTTGCCAGCAAAGTATTTGTGCCTGGCCGTCCAACATTTGTAGGTGGCCTGCTAGCTCACACATGACGCCAAAAGGACTGCACCGCATTGTGGAAAGGCCTTGCCTCGACTCATCATGTCAGGTCGATCCATGCGGCGCCGTCGCGTAACGCACAGGTTGCAACCCGGGGGGCCAGAGGCATTGCAGCTCCAGATGAAATCTGCAACCAACAGATGACAGTCGCTCATCGCTGCAAACCTACCCTCTGAGGTGGGCGTCTGAGTGGTCGAAGGCTTCGTTGCAACGCTTTTGACGCCCTGTGAGTGGCTGGTGATCACTTCTCACTGGCTTCAGTGGCTCGTTTCCCCAAGCGCGCGTCTACCCGGTCAATGCGGGGCAGTTGCTGGCTTCCCATTGGGTTCTTCCACGCTAAGCCCCTGCATCACCCCGCCTGCCCGCCCAATCCCGGCAGCTGGCAACGTTCTGAATCCGCCCAAGCTTTTTGGCTCTGGCTCCGTCAGTCCAAAAATTTTGGAGGGACCCTGAAGGAAAATTCTCATACGCTGGTGCAGCGCCGCCGTCCACCCGTCACCACCGTCCACTGCGAACAAGTTGCATAACGTCTCAGGTTGCAGTCGAAGCCGACATATTTGTGATCAATCACCTCAAATGCCGTCTTCCGCAGCTCCCCGACGGCCGGGCCCCGCGGCCGACGACGAGGATCCGGCTTCCTCGTCCGCCAACTCCTCCGGCGCCGAATCCGAGTCCGACTACCTCGACAGCCCCGGCTCCCGCAAGAGACGGAGGACCGAGCCGCCAGCTGCCGAAATCATCGATGAAGACGACGATGATGACGAGGAAGAGCTCAAGGCTGTTGTTTCTACCATCCAGGCCCCTTCGCGATTCAAGCGCGCCGCCGTCCCCGAACAAGCACCAAAGACCGTCCTTCCCGCGCCGTCGCAAAACGCAATCACTGCGCCGACAGACCCCAACACATCATTCTCGTCCCTCAACGTGCGCCCATGGCTGGTCCAATCGTTGGCCAACATGGCCATCAAGCGGCCGACGGGCATTCAGAAGGGCTGTATACCAGAGATCTTGAAGGGCAGGGACTGTATCGGTGGCAGCAGGACAGGTTCCGGTAAAACGGTCGCGTTCGCCGTGCCTATCCTCCAGAAATGGGCAGAGGATCCCACAGCCATCTTCGCCGTCGTCTTGACGCCGACGCGCGAGCTTGCGCTGCAGATCTTTGAGCAGTTCAAGGCCATCTCTGCGCCGCAGAGCTTGAAGGCCATCCTCATTACGGGTGGCTCAGACATGCGCCCTCAAGCGATTGCTCTGGCGCAGCGACCCCACGTCGTCATCGCGACCCCCGGCCGTCTCGCCGACCACATCAGGACATCGGGAGAGGACACCATCTGCGGTCTACGGCGCGTCAAGTACGTTGTGCTCGACGAAGCGGACCGCCTCCTCGACGCCACCGGTCCCGGCAGCATGATCCCCGACGTCGAGGAGTGCCTGTCCGTCCTACCGCCCTCGTCGCAGCGCCAGACCCTCCTCTTCACCGCCACCATCACCCCCGAAGTCCGCGCCCTGAAGGACATGCCCATCAAGCCCGGCAAGCAGCCCGTCTTCGTCTGCGAGGTCGACACCCAGTCCCTCGCCATCCCCGCGACCCTCTCGCAGATGCACCTGCAGGTCCCCGTCACCCACCGCGAGCACTACCTGCACACCTTCCTCCTCACGGACGGCAACGCCGACAAGTCCATCATCATCTTCTGCAACCGCACCTCCACGGCCGACTACCTCCACCACCTCCTCCGCCTGCTCGAGCACCGCGTGACGTCGCTGCACTCCGGCCTGCCCCAGCGCCAGCGCGTCGACAACCTCGGCCGCTTCCGCGCCGCCGCCGCCCGCATCCTCGTCGCCACCGACGTCGCCTCCCGCGGTCTCGACATCCCCGAGGTCGCGCTCGTCATCAACTACGACATCCCCCGCAACCCGGACGACTACATCCACCGCGTCGGTCGTACGGCGCGTGCGGGCCGCAAGGGCGAGGCCGTCACCTTTGTCGGCCAGCGCGACGTCGAGCTGGTGCTGGCGATCGAGGGCCGCGTCGGGCGGCAGATGGAGGCGTGGAAGGAGGAGGGCGTCAACCTGGAGACCCGCGTGCTGCGCGACGCGCTCAAGGTTGTGAGCGAGAAGAAGCGGGAGGCGTTGTTGGAGCTGGAGGAGGGGAGGGAGGTGGGCGGAAAGAGGAAGAGGGCGAAGCAGAAGCTCAGGGCGTAGGTTTGCCCTTGGAATGTGTGATGTTTTATAAAATGGGAATACATGGAATAGATAAAATAATACCCGAGATTTTGAGATTAATGTTTTGGGCGAGATGAATGTGATCTAATCGGTCGAATTGTGCGTGTCAATATACCGCTGTGCAGACACGGTAGGATGAGTATGTGGCATCATGCTTGCACCTTCAAGCCGCCTCAGGGACGTGTGTATAGTGTTGAAACGTGTCGGAATCATAGTCTTCGCGATGGTTATACTTACACAGCTGTGAGTGTGAGAAGTAGATGTAGGCTCACTCCCGCGTCGTGGTCGCATATGCTTTCTGAAGATGTCCTGGCTCCGTCGTCGTCTATCATTCTCGTCGGATGATTCCTGCATTATAGGAGAACTGTGGGAAAGTATTTGGCTGCGCAGTTTGCTTCACGTGCTGATTTGGACAGAACTCTAATCATGATGTTCCAAAACCCATTCTTTTCAGAAAGGAGTACACGCAGTACATTCCTGTTTGAAAAGAAAAGGGTCATGAAAGGGGACACATCAATAGTATTATACCAACCATCGTGAGGTCTCGTTTAGATACCATAATAGCGATTGAGGCAATAGGGTTCTGTGTGCCGTCTGGAGTATTTATAGCCAGAGCCTCTTCTTCAACGAACAGATAATTACTGCCTCCGCCAATACCAGTTGAATCTTCAGGCGCTGTACTTGGATGCGCTCCGCGTGATCGCCATGGTAGGGCTGGTTCCGTGGTCTGTGTGTCAATTGCTCACGAAACTGAGGTCAACGTTTGGCTCAGTTGCATAAGGGGTTTACAAACAAGCCTCAGTCGGTCATTTCCATCCTCGACTTCTACCTGCTTTGTATTGGCTTATGAATAAGAACAAGATGACGTCTGACAATGTGTTGTCAAAATGGGTGGTCGATCCAAAGATCTATCGTGGAGTTATGCTTTATAACTCATGGCACCAGGTCTCACGTCCTTCGAAAGCTCTTGGCCCCATTCTGTGTTTCGGTGTTTTCCTCTGCTTCTTCTTCGAGGCTGTTGAAATTTGTGTTTGGACACCCTTCCTCGTCCAGTGAAGCCAGGACTTACGCTCTCCGACAATGGGCACCACGATGGGCTTCGCATTATTAGAAGTTGCACCGACGATGAACCGAAACTCACAGAGAGGAGCCAATGATAGAGACTTTTCAACTAACATTCGGACCTCGTTCTGGATCAGGAGAATACGAGGTCGTCTCCCTACCGGCTACAGGTCCCCAAGACCAAGTTTTCACATGGGCGAACGACCAATTATATAAGAGCTGAATATATCAACATCTGTGTCGTCAGCAACGAGCAATTGTACCTTCCTGATGAAGGAGGTCAGGACACCCGAGAAAGCTAGCTAAAGAGGTCAATGTCGATAGTCGTACTGGAGGAAGAGCTTCTACCAAACTTTCTCATGTTCTAACGGTATCTGTCACTTTCTTCCGAGTGGGTGACAACGAATAAGACAGGTACGATGACCTGCCTGAGTTGTCTCGGCTTCGATGAGTCATGAGACAACGCAAACACCGTACTATCCAGGTGCTGGAACGCTGCTGTGACCTTTATCAAGTGTACAGACAGAAGACATAAAGCTCACATTTTTCATGAGGTCGCTGAACTCTGGCCACGGAGATCGCTTCGACATCGCCACCATCGCAAAAAGGTCGCAGTTGGATTGTATATAAATGAACCAGGAAGCCAGCTTACTGACTGCATTTTCTCTTCCTTATTTCCACAACCTACACATCATTTGACGTCGTCAACGGAAACCAAATCACACATTGCATTTTCTTTCCTACATCACAGCTCTTACCCGACAGCAAGATACTCACAATGACCCAAATCAATATCAGCAACAAGCATACCAATTTCGCAAGGCCCAGCGACCATCGAGGTCCGCCGGCACGCCCATCCTGCGCGGGCAAACGCCCGTATTTCAAGGCTCGACCATCGGGGAGGATATTCCACCTCAGGCCAAAGATAATCTGTCTTATCTCTGCGGCCATCATCATTCCTGTCGTTGTCAACAGCGTCTTTGACAGCCAGATCCTCCTTGCACCAACCAACGGCCTCGTCTCGATCCCCTTCGTCCTTCTCAGTCTCTTGACAAGCATCATTGCTACTGCCATTTTAAAAACTGATACAAACTTTCAACCGGATAGAAGAGGCCCTTCGATGTTGGAAGCCTTTATCTTGGTGGTTTGGCCCTTGGCACCAGCCACCTACTTCGTCAGTCTGGTTGATGCAGGTAGTTCTCGTTCGGGCGACGTCCTTGCGACGACCATCATGTTACATGAATGCATGAACGCTCTGATGTGGATTGCTATGGTCGCTTGCATGGTCGCCTGGAGGCAGATGAGGAGACAGCTTAGGGAGGCATTTATGAAAGCAGCTAGGAAGGCAGTTCGGGAGGTAGCTCTGGAGGCAGCTGAGTTTATATTTGCAGACGCCTTTCCGCTGCATACAAATGCTGTCCCGGACGATGAAAAGTTTTTCGACTAACACGTTGAACAAAACAAGCCTCCGCCAGCTTATGTCAACGTGTGAATGTAGACGAATGGCATCACGCGATCATAGGATGTGCATTCTGTAGGGAGTAGGATACCATGATAGAAGATTTCAACGGCAATAAATGCAGTGTCTAGTCAAACAGTTATTTGCTGATCATCTCTTATTCAATATGTTTTTCTTTTTTTGACTTACAGATGAAAAGGGCTACATAGTGCGGCATCTCTAAGCAAAGCTCTACTCGTAATGTATAAAACCATCCAGGACGTACACCCGTGTGAGCCAGACCATTCAGAGTACCAATAGACGGAGGCTACGGAGACACAAACACCGTGAACGTTATTCTTTGGTCAGGTATTGCCCGGATATGCGAGACTGTCATGCAGCACTGACCCTGACGATGGCAACCCTTGCGTTCTTTTCCACGTCACAGGAACCAAAAGCATGATGAGCGCGCGGGAATGCTAGTGCTGTGTTAAACGTCCCTGAGATCGCGTGTTTTTCTTCTTGCCGTTGTGACTCTTGCCTCCTAACTTACAGCCTCACACCTTTTGCGACTACATCATGCCGTACTTTCAGTTAGAAGAGGACTAAACAAGTCAAAGACCTTGTCGCACTATTCTGTAGTTCTCTGACATCAACCTATGCTGGGACTAAGCGCTTCAGAGGCAGGCTAACAGAAGCAGCTGTGCAGCTTGATGACTTGCTCAAAGAAACCTAATTTCTACCATGATGGCATGATCTACAAGTGGAAGAAACGGAGATATACCAGCAGCGTTGAGAGGCGTCCGCTACTCGGATCCGTTCAGCGGTAGTTTTCAAAAGACATCACTGGCGCGCTAGACGCCTTTCATATTCCACCTTGCCGCCGCCGTTTGTTCCAAGAATAACAGGCCTAGCATGCCACTTGCCTTTAATCGCTCTGCCGATGTCATATCTGTGCTGAACACTCGGGTTCTTGTCCGCCCCTTTCTCAGACTGGAAGGCACCGACACGTTACATTCGTATTATTGCATTTTTTTCGGCTCAGGGACTTTGGGTCAACACTGGCATGTCGCATCTGCATTCCAGCCCAATATGCCATTTCAGACAGACACCCCCAGACTAACACACATGCAGATGGGTATTTTCGGTAGCACGCCAACTCAATGATTTACCTTAATCGAACGATCGTCATTTGTGGTCCCGGAGATTTGGTACCAAGACACGGGGCTAGCTTCCAGCCGCGATGAAGAAACACGCACTATGCCGCAGTGAGACCAGGCACCCGGGTCAGCCTCAACCACCTACCCCCAACGATCTACAATCACAGATCGAGCTAGACTCAGACAGCAACACTTTGCGATGGCATCTTGTTTACCTGCAACCCACGAAAAAGAACTCCCCGACAACATCCCCTCCTTTTTGTTTACTTTTCCCCTATTTAACCCTCAGCTCATCAATATTGTAGCACAGAGAAGTCCAAGCGCAAGACCCGAGCCGGGGGGCCGCATCAATTGTCTCACCGCGGAAACGCCACCGGACAAGGCCCTGGGACCTGAACCCAGGTTTCCGGTGCCGGGGGCGCGGGAGGCGTGTTCCCCGACCAATCCGCTTTCACAGACATCGCAAAAGAGCTGAGGTCAGACGAGTCGCATCTCTCTCCCTCACCCAGCCAGCCTGGTCCCCGGGGAAAGGGGAGAGCTCTCGTGCGGTACACGTAGCGGGACAGGCACAAAAATAAAGAAAAGCGAGACGTGATGCGGCGGACGAAGCAATCTGTTTTTGGATAGCTTCAGCTAGACAGCTCCAACACACAGCTTGTGTGGAGCAGGCGAGGCGTGGTTCGTGGCTCGGTCCAGACCTCTGTCAGGAGTTGAAACGCCCTTCAGACGAGTCAAGACCAGGATATCTCTCACTATCTGATCGGACCTGACGTGACGGGAGTGCTTGATCGCCCAGCCAAGCGCACAACATCACCCGAGGGGGCCCGCGTCGCTGAAGGCTCCCGCATTTCCGGGCATTGCCAAAGAAAGAGACAGACCAGCCAGACCGGGCGCTTATCCGGGTTTCGGAGCCCAGCCCCGGGGCCGCTCCCCGACGCTCGACAGCCACGGCGCCGAGAGAACGCCATCCCATGCTCGCGTTTGTCATCAATGCCTTCTTTTCAGGCACGAGTCCCATGTTCTTTCACAGTCCCGCAGATATCGACACACCCCTTTCGTGGGCCCTTCAGCCTCCACGTGGGTGTACCTAGCGCAGCGTAGCGAAGAGAGAGGAAAAAAATCTAGACCCAAGCCCACAAAAGCCCAGTGAAAATCGCGAACCGACCAGAAGGATACAGAGGGAATCAGCAAGAATGAGAAAAACTAGCATAAAATTTTCATCACGATATCCACCGCGATGGATCCCCACGGCGCCTTACCGACGCGAACCGGGCCTCTGTGAGTGTGACTGTGTGTGTGAGTCTGCTGACGTCAAAAAA